TGAGGTAAGGAGTTAGGAATGAGGGGGGCGGCCAGGGTTTCTTCCCACGTTTTGACGCACTCCCCACCCCCACTTCTGTATTCAGGAAGCCGAGTAGTCGCCCTGATCGGGGGATCGGGGAGATTCGGTCCTGACAGCGACCGGGGTCTGTGAGGGTCGTCGTTTCTGAAGCAGAGGGAAGAGAAGTCGGAACTGAGTGTAATGGGGGGCGGGGGGGACTTGTCTGCAGTGGGTCGTAAAGACTGTTGACTTTATGTGAGCTGGAGCAGAGCAGGGACAAGGAGCAGCATAGGCTCTGTGACTCCCGTGGCTGGCATCCGAAACGGTTCTCCACTCCGTGGGCGGTTTTCTGCGCCATGACCCAGGCCCACTGTCCCTGGTGACCCATAGCTGTGGGTCCCCCTTCCAGCCTGGTGCCGTTGATTCTTTCCACTGGACAATTACCGGCCATGGCTTTTCTGGCCCTTGATTCCTTCTCCAGCCTGAGCACCCATTATGAGGATGGGGATCTCTGTGTCTCCAGAGGGCTCCATGCGGGCGAGTCCCCGGGGCCTGAGCACTGCTCTGGGAGGGGGTCGATGCTCCAGCGTGGACTTCGCAAGGAATTGTGGTTCAAGGAATTGTGGTTCAGACTTTGTGATTTCTGGTTCTCGGGATAACAGCGTCCACTGGGAGAATTCACAGTGAATGTTCCCTAGTGACCAACCTGCCCCACGAGTATTCCCGCTGGACAGACACCAAACCTTTTTCACAGACTCTAGACTTACCTGTATAGGGAACAGGTTGAAAACTCAATATACTCTTCTATTTCCAGTAATAACGTCTTCGTACACAAAGGACAGACCTTTCTATTCGGCTTACCTGCTTAGCACGGTCAAATAATTTCTAATTTAAAATTTTCCTTTTGCTGAAATGATTCTCTTCAGAATCATTTCCCATGTAAAATTTTCAACGAAGTCTCGTTTTGTCGATCAAGTTATTTTGTTGTTGTCTTTCATATCAACCACTTAGAGCATCTGCAGTTAGAAATTTACTTTTATGGACTTTATATCTATTAAATCCAATTATTCTAAATCCAATTTTGCAAAGAGAAATTTTATCAAAAAGGTTGCTTCTGTCCATTTTTAGTCAATGATACATTTTTCTGGGTAGGTGCAATTTAAAATTTTTGTTCGATCATATTTACCGTTAATATCCATTATAAATCAGGTAAAAGAAGATAGTTTGCGTTGATATTTTTAGCTAATTCATGAGAAAGTCGTTTCAGGATCGCCCCTCTGTAAAGGTTCGGGCTGCTGTATCGCTCATCTGATCCTGACTCTGCTTCCGTCACTTTGGGTGGAGCAGGGAGTAAATGGCAGGGCCAAAATGTTTTATTTTACTCCAATCACATCACTGTTTGGGTTTAAAGGGGGGGGGGCACTTTTTAAAAAAAACTTTTTGGTCTTTTTCCCCCTGATTTTTTGTTCTCTCTCTCCCTTCTCTACACTTTTTAGCCCTTTCGGTTTCTCTGACTCATCATCCAACTCCGCCACGTGTCTACCTACTTCGGTCTCGCGTGGCTCCTCTGCCTGCTTCCCCCTCCTCTCCCCTCCCCAGTCTCACTCACCGTCCCAGACTCTCCCGTGGCTGTTTTTTTCCCCCCTCTGGGGTGCTTTCTATGCCCCACCCTCATCTCCTTCCACGAGTTGCTTATCAGAGTCCCCGATGTCACCATCATAAAGGCTCGGGGAGAAACCCGTGCCCCTGCCAGCTCGGCATCCCACTGGGATCGAGTCACCAAGAGGGGTTGTGAACCTGTGCTTCTTGTTTGGCTTCAAAAGCAGCGCTGAGGGCGGCCGGCCTAAGCGAGCGTGATTTTATGGAATCTGTCTGAAGACAGAGGATGGATGAGGTGCTCTCAGGAGAGCCCTGCCAGATCAAGGGACCTGGGAACCTCATTTCAGTCATCATCAGTTTAGATTTATTAGACACCTCTTGGGTCCTCGGAGCTGTGCTAAATGATTTCATCCTTCAAGCCCTAAAATCTAGCTTCTGCCTTTTTAGCAGCTGTTTAAAATACTATAATATTGGGCTGGGTTTTTACAAGATTTTGTCGTTTTTACTGTTATTATTTATCACAAACCATGTTTTAAAAATTAAAAGTGAGAAGATTTAGCAGTATTGGAGAGTGTCCATTTCTTTTAGTATAAAGTCCTATAGATTTCCACTAATGAGCTCCTCTCCAGCTACTGGGGGATCAGAAGGCAGACTGGAAAGTGGGTTGGATAATGTTCATGGAGAGAATGTCTTACGGGAATGTCTTATGGAGCTGGGATGGGGTGGGGGTCTGGGGGAATATCTGAGGAGAGGCTTAGAAAAGGAAGGACAGAGATGGAGAGAGAGAGCAAGCTCGGGAATAGTTTCTTTCATTTAGTCAGCAAATGTTTACTGAGCGCTTTTTCTGTGCAGGTAATTTTTTAGATGCCGAAGATACAGCAGTCAAAAAAAAAAACTATATTAAAAATCCCTACCTTTGTGGAGTTTATATTCTAATAGAGAAAGCCAATAAAATAAATGACTAAAGTTGGTGACACATACTATAGGAACAAATAAAGCAGAGGCAGGACTATTGGGAGTTTTAATTTTAAAAGAGTGATAAGGGAAAGACCTAAGGACATAGGGCGTGAGCCAGTGCAATTCTCTAGGCGAAGAGCATGGAGTATTCCAGAGAGAGGGGCCCGGAGGAGGCGGGAGCAAGAAGCAGGGAAAGCAGCTTGGAGAATGTCGACGAGCCGGGGAGAGACGCCGGTGACCTGGACTAGTCCGATGCAGAGGGAGTAGTGGGGAGAAGTCAGAGTCTGGGTACATTTTAAAGGCAGCGGCACTGCCGGGACTTGCTGGTGGATGGGGCGGGGGTCAGGAGAGCGAAGGTTTGGTTTAAACGACAGGCAGGACGGAATAACCGTGGACATGAGTACGGGTGGGAAGGGCTGGCTTGGGGAAAAGGTCACGCGCTGAGCTGGGGACATGTCGCGGAAAATAGTGTGGGGACGAGCCCTTCACGAAATGGAGAAAACCGAGGATGTGAATCTTGCGGGAAAGAAGATGGATCTGGCTGGGGGTGAGAGGGGAGAAAGCGTGGGGTGACGAGCTGGGGATCGTGAGGAGCACGTCACCAAACACAGCACCCGAAGCTGGGGCGGTCTGTAAGGAGAGCATGCCGGCTCCTTGCTCGCGAAAAGCAGGGAGCCAGGGCAGCGTCAGAGGCCGGAGGAGCCTGGACCGCGGCTTTCGAGAAGGCCGGATAAAGAATGAAGCGGGGGCAGAAGCGCCTTCGAGGTGTGGAGAAGCTGGCCGAGGCGGGCCATCTGGATGTGGGCCGAGAATCCCGGCCTCTGGAGGAGAAGGTGTAGATGGCATCGGTGAGGGGAAGGGGGCAACTCTGGAGTGGGGAACGGCGTTGACGGTTACCGGGCTGGTCCTGGAGGCCCTGAGAAGTTCTTGCTGGCCGGCAAGGGCTTCGCGAAGAATGGCGGCCCAGCTCCGGGTGCAGAAAGGCGTTCTGGCCGCACGGACGTGGCGCCTTTTCTCGTAGAGTGTTTCAGCGTCCCCGAGTTATCGAGGTATCGTACTTGGGCGTAGTCTGAGCCTCTGGGCGTGGGACACCTGGTGGGCAGAGGTCCGCTCCCACATCTGTGAAGTCCTACCCCCTTTCACAGTGGGCTCCATCGGTAAGGAGCTGGCCATTCAGGGCGCGGATTATCCATCTTCTCTTTCCCGGTTGGTTGGTTTTCTTTTGACTTTTTGTTGTTTCGCTGCTAGTTGGTCCTTTGGGCAGAAAATAAGGGATTTTGTAAAACTCAAACACTGAAAACATTTGTAATGCATAATTTGCAGTCCAGGCAAATACATCAGCGGATAAGAACAAAACCAACGGTCGAATTAAACTTTAGAATTATGTATGGGTTAGAATATTTATATGGCTGTGATTACAAATAATCAGTACCCTACTAAATGAGTCAAATTTTCTTTCTTTCCATCTATATTTTCCCTTGTGGCCTTTCTATTTCTCATATTCCCTCCATGTTCCTCAAGATTCTGAACTTGAGCGGAAAGCAGCTGTTCGTGCTGCTCAGCAGCCTTGACTCGCAGAGGCAAGGTGGGAAAGCAGTGGCATCATTTTCAACTAGAAGGCGCGACAGGGCTTCGTGGGGCTTTGAAAGTGGGGGAAAAGTCTGGCCGCTGATGAGGCGGCACGTGGCTGGCTGGGCTGCTTAAGGAGAGTCGGGAAGGGGGTGCAGTCAGGAAACATCCTGACTCTCGGATCCTTGGACAACGTTTCTTGGGCCAGATTTTGGGGGTTGGGGTGAGGATGGGGACTCGGATGACCCTAAAGTTTCCATCTGGAAGTGAGATTCTAAGATTCTGAATCTAAGGAAGAGAGGAGGAGGGAGATGCGAGAGGCCAACACCCAGCTCTTCCCACCGGGCTGGAGGAGGGTCCCCAGGGAAATGACAAAGGCCGACATCTCCCTCCGTCTCCCTCTGTCCCGCAGAAGTAGATGCTCCTACGTTGCTCGCTCCTGCCTGCAGAAACCGAAAGGGTCCTAAGCCAGGTCCCACGCCGCTTCGTTCTGGGACCTGAGGCCGTGTGGCCTGGGCTTGGAGAAAGCTGGGAAGGTCGTGGGTGGGCAGAGTGAGGTGAGGGTGGTGGCAGCGTTGAGGGGACACAGTTCTGGGACCTGTCTTCCTTTGATAGACGCTTACTGCCTGCCTCACTTTGCCATAGTGAAATCTGTGCTGGTTAATACTTTTCTTCCTATTTCTTTGTCTTCCCTGAACCCCTTCCCCACCCCTCACCTGGATGTGCCATCCCTGTCCCCCCTCCCGTCCCCCCTCACCCCCTCCACGTGCGTACTTCTTCCTGCCATCCTCTGGCCATGGTTCCATGCGCCTCCTCCAACCCGTCTGCCTTTCCCTGCTTCTCCCTCCCTGTCGGTCTGTCTTCGCTGCCCACAGAGGGGAAGGTGTACAGCTCAGATGAGGAGAAGCTGGAGGCAGCCGCAAGAGACCCTGCAGGCAGCGAACAGGAGGAGGAGGGCTCGGGCGGTGACAGCGAGGACGATGGTTTCCTGGACAGTTCTGGAGGGGGCCCGGGGGTTCTCCTGGGACCCAAACCGAAGCTAAAGGGAAGCCTGGGGACTGGAGCTGAGGAGGCGGCCCCACTGGCAGCGGGAGTCACAGCTCCTGGGGGCAAAAGCAGACGGCGCCGCACAGCGTTTACCAGCGAGCAGCTTCTGGAATTGGAGAAAGAGTTTCACTGCAAGAAATACCTGAGCTTGACAGAGCGCTCGCAGATCGCTCACGCCCTCAAGCTCAGCGAGGTGCAGGTCAAGATCTGGTTTCAGAATCGAAGGGCCAAGTGGAAGCGCATCAAAGCTGGCAACGTGAGCAGCCGATCTGGAGAGCCCGTAAGGAACCCCAAGATTGTCGTGCCCATACCTGTGCACGTCAACAGGTTTGCTGTTCGGAGCCAGCACCAGCAAATGGAACAGGGGGCCCGGCCCTGAAGGGCTCCCGAGGACTCGGGGAGACAAAGCATCCGCTCCTGAGCCTGCTGAGACGGGGCTCAGGTTCCGTGGACCAGAGGGGCAACCACTGTGATCCTGCCCTGGGGTGCGGGCGCTTGGCCCCGAGGCGAAGGGGACGTGGGTTGTCCGTGCCCCGGGGCTGCTGGGCCTGAGGTGGACTCCCGGGGAGGGTGGGTTCTGGACCGCCTAGGGCCTGACGGGTTCTTGGACTCACTCCTTACGAGTGGGAGGAATCCTGGGCGAGGCCCAGCCAAGCTGATCACAGCTCCTTATTTATTTTGTGTAAAGTTTGTACATACGGATCTGTCTGCCTCTGTCTGTCTGTCTGCACCCTGATGGGGGCGTGGGAAGGCCATTTCCTCGCTCCTCAGCCAGTTTGGTTCCATTTTACTGCCCCAGATTGGGTATCATCTTGCCCGTCTATAGGACAAGGACATGCAAAGAAATGGAACTGTCACTAGCCTCCTTAGAAACGTCCACGCACACCATCCTCTCCCGTGTAAACTACCTGCACGTCTGTCCTCCTCCTCCCTGGGGACCGGCCCGTGCACCTCCAGACATGACCCTGTCACCGCGCTTCCTTACCCACTAACGGGCCAGCGTCCTCTGGGAGAGTCACAGGCTTCAGGACAGAGGGTCACTCCCTTTTGTATCGTGAGGGGAAACAAAGTCCTTGGCCTTGTCTAGATGGCGTCTGCCCAACTACCTAACTAGGCAGAGCTTATCAGTCCCATTAGTGACTCGGGCAAGCTGGGGGCTCCCCCTCGACCCCTGGGACTGCATTTCTCTAGGTAGGGGACACAGCAGCTTAGTCCATCTCCGCCACTCTCTGGTCCCCCGGACACGAGGGCCTGCGGTGGATGACCCACATCCAGTTCTGTCTCTCGTGGCATTAATTATGGTCTCTTTCTTCCCATCACAGCATTTACAAAGCTCGGCTACCAAATCCTCTTCTGTTATAGAGCGAGATTGGTTGAGAAGCCCACTGCAAGGTGGATGAGGCAGGAAAGAATCCTTGATGGTTCTGGAAGGGTATGTACTGTGGGGGGAGCCACAGAGATAGGAATGTGAGGCTTTGGGTTGGAATCCTATGAGCAAATTAAGGACCAGCGTGAGTGGGCGAAGTTAGGGACCCTCACTCAGCAAGGTCTCATCCTTTAAGAACAGGTGGTGTCCCCGGGTCTTCTTTCTAGAATAAGTAAGCGACAGAGGGAAAAGTGGGGGTGCTGGGTTCTGCCACAGCTTGGCAAGTCGTGGGGACTCTCCTGCCATCGGTGACCGGCCTCCTCCCCGTCCCTCGAGAGCAGAGCCCAGGCGTGAGTCCCGAGCGGAGGACCGCCCTAGCGAGCGCTCCCCCCGCAGCGGCCTCAGGACTCCGCTGGCCCAGCCTGGCCGCCGTGAGCGTCCCCCTGTGCACCTGGCCATGTGGGCTGCTTCCCGGGCTCTCAGGAGGGGACGATGCTGACGCCCTCCCCTTGGGTGAGCTCTGGCCAGGGCCAGGCATGGCGGGAGGTTACTGGACAGAACTCTGATGAAAGCAAGGAGACTAGCTGGAAAGGTCTGGGGGGTGGAGGGGCATGAGTGGGGAAGCAGCTTCCAGAGCTCGGGATCTTCCCGTCGGGGTTCACTGCCAGTGCTGCTGAGACTGGACTACACCCCTGGCAAGAGAAGGCGAAAAGCGCAGGGGTCTGGGGGAGACACCGGGGCCTCAGACTCAGAGGGGAGGGAATCCTAGTGCAAAGCAGAGATGGAGAAGGCGGAAACCAGGCCGCACACAGTCTGGTTTATTGGCTCATCATACACGCACACCAGTATGTACACAAACATAAATATTCCGATGTACACATTTACACGGGACTCGCAGATGGCCCTCTGGCCTCACCAGCAGCCCCCACCCTGGGCCCTCGCGGGCTCCACTTCAGGGTAAAGGTTTGCAGGGGGCTGGCACTAGAGGGCAGGAGTCCAGAGGAGGGAGAGGTCCTGCTCCCCTCTCCTCGTAGGCACCTCCAAAGGGTCCTGTCCCTTCTCAACGGCACCACAGGACAGGAGGCGCAACACCACGCGCTCTGCTGCGGCCCAGGTCCCAGACGCCGCCTCTGATCGGCTCCGCCACTGAGCTCTGCTCCTCTCTGACCTCCTCTCTTTGCTTTCTGCCTGTCCCGGCTTCTCAGTCCATCTGCCCCAGTGCCTTTAGGGAGGAGGGTCCCCAGGCTACGGAGTCCGGCCGGCCCCTCCGCCTCGGCCTCACAGGAGGCTAGGGCTTCGGTGCAGCTCAGCAGAGGCGGTGCTGCCGTTGGCGGGCTCTCTGCTGGGGGTGGGTGCTAAACCACAGCCCTCCCCAGGGCAGCCGTGCTGGATCAAGATGTCTGCGCACTCCTGGCTGCCGGCCCGGCGAGCATAGGCCAGGGGAGTCAGGCCCCGGGCGTCCCGGCTCCTCACGTCCACCCCGTACTGCAGAAGAAAGCACATTTTCACAATGGGCATGACACGGCCGGAAAGGCGGGTTCTTGGGGAGAAAAAGGAGAGGTGGCTTTCGAAGGGCGTCGGGGCAGGTCAGGACTCAGCGAGGCGGGAGCCCGCGACTCACCCAGATGAGCAGCTGTGTGAAGACCACGTTGGCCATGGCGCTGGAGAGGTGCAGGGCCGTCCGCCCGTCCCCATCCCCGTAGGTCTCGTTCACCTCCTCCTTGGACCCGTGCGCCAGGAGCATCACCAGCAGCCGCAGGTCGTCCTCCACCACGGCCCGCAGCAGCTGCTGCCCCAGCGGCACGTCCGAGCTGGGCAGCGGCGCCAGGAAGAGCTTCTGCTCGTACTTGGCCCGTATCCAGCGCTCCTTCTCCTCCCTGCAACCACAGGGCCATCAGGGCATGAGCCAAGGGTCAGGGAGGGTGGTCAGGAAGTGACAAACACCCCAAAGGGGAACGAGGAAGAAGCAGAGTCAGGGCAAAGAGAAGCCTAAGAAACCGCGGGTGAGCCAAGGGAGGGTCAGGGATGGTGGTCAGGAAGCGACATAAACACCCCAAAGGGGAACGAGGAAGAAACAGAGTCAGGGCAAAGAGAAGCCTAAGAAACCGCGGGCGCACAGAGGGGCAGTGGGCGAAGCGAAGGGTGTGCAAACGGCCAGAGGGACGGTGCCGGGAGCCCCTGGGGCAGTGGGGACGTGGGGGCGGAGGGCAGGCCGGTTCCACGCAGGGCTCCAGGGGCAGCTTATCTGGCCCTGCTGGACAAAGCGGCCGGGAGCCTGCACCGGGGCCCACGGCTACCTATCTGCCAGCCATTCTCCCCATCACAGAGCTCGAGCTCGGGCCTTCGCACCACCGGGCAGATAGGGCCCTGCGCATGCGCCTCCTCGGGGCCCCCTGACCCCGCTGATAAGGACTGAGAAAGGGCCTGTTGTTGTGAGGCGCCTGAGTGACAGGCAGAGGGGGAGGGGAACCCCAAGAGGCCAACTGCCAAGCAGAGCGACGGCCGGTTTTAACCCTTCCAGCGCTGTGGCAGCCGCTCGGCACCGTCCCCAGCCTTCCCCACGCCGGAGCACTGATGTCCCCTCCCTGCCTGGCCAGCCTCGAGGTCCCATGCATTCACCTGCAGGCATCCGGGCCTGGCTTCGCGTAGCCGTCCAGGGCCCCCTCCCAGACACTGTTGGCCAGGGCATTGCCCATCGCTGTCATGACAGCCAGCAGCTCAGGCGGCCAGTCATCGAGGTCAAGGGAACGGACCCGGGACAGGTGAGCCCCCAGATGGCGGTGGGTCCCCGAACATTCGATGCACATGAGGGCGCCCAGGTTCAGGCTGGCCCAGTCTGGATCTAGGCGAGGAGAAGAAGCACGATGAAGCCTCTTGTTGGGCTTTCTCCGTCACCCCCAACCCCGGCCCCGCCAACCCGGCCCTGGCACTTACTGGGGGCGTCACAGTCGATGCAGAAGCTGTTGCCACGAACGGTGCGGACGGCCTGCACGGCCAGCGCTGTATTTTGGTTCCCCAGTCGAGTCTGCCATGGTGGGAGAGACGGGGCAGCCGGTCAACACGAGGCCGCCTCGGGTCCCACCCCGCTCGGGCCTCCATGCCCACCTTGTCCTTGGCACTGCGGCAGCCCTGCAGGCTGGCGAGGATCTGGGCCTGCACGCTCTGTACCCACAGCTCCCGCTCCTCCGCCGTCGAAGCCTCGAAGTGCCACGTCTGCCCGGTGAGGGACACCACCACAAATTCAAACGACTCCTCTGCCTCTGTGAGGGACGGGAGTGTTCACCACCAGCACAGGGGGCGCCTCGTGGGAGTGCGCACCCAGAGACGCGCGCGCCACTGCCACGACTCCGCTCACCCCCCGCTGTCCTGACACTCAGCCTCTCCTAACCACCTGTGGAGCCCGGGTGGAAAAGATGGGGGTGCGAGGTTCTGGCGCCGCTGGCACTGCCAGGGATGCGTCTGGGGATCAGGGAGGGGCGCTTCCTGGAGAAAGAAGAGCTGAGTTTCTGGAGGATGCGATGGGGTGCTCGGAGGCAGTGCTGGAAGGGTGTGGGGGAAGGCGGGCGCGGGCACCATCCGTACATGTCAGCTGCAGCCGCCTCATTTTGCAGCTCATTAAACCCAATATTCCTGACGGCGTCAGCGCGGGGCTCCTGGGAGCCGCGCCCCTCCCCCACCACCCTGGCACAGACAGGCAGGAAGGGCAAGTGGATGGGGAAAGGAAAGGTTTTCTCCCCGAACTAGGATGTGTCAGCAGACAGGCACCTGAGGACATCTGCCGTGACGAGCAATGTGGGCTGGACTGTGACCCCAAGCAATGTGGCCAAGCTGTGCTCCCCCAGGCCCCCAGCAGACAGCCACATGAATCTCATTCCCAATGGTCACCGCCCCACAGGTGAACGGTTCCTAACGAGCAGTGTGCACGTGTCGTGGGGGCTGGAGTGACAGCTCAGGTACCTGTGGGAGGCCCAAGGGGGAGCCAGAGGCAAAGGCCCGGGCAGCACGCTGCGCCCAAGGCAGCCTCTCGCCTCTATGGCGCTGACAGCCCCTCTCTGAGGGCGCCCTAACGGATCTGCCTTCCTGGAAGAAGAAAGCTGGCCCCTTCCTTTCCCCAGGCTCCACCATTCCACCTCGCCTTGCCTTCAACTCAGCCCTCAAAGTACATCGTCTCTTTGACTTGGGGCTCAGTTCCCTGGGACAGGTGGACCCCAAGCCAAGAACACTAAGCATCACCGTATCACAGGTTGGCTGGAAAAGGCGGCTCTTTCCCACAGAGGTAGCCTCTGCCCACCTGTCCACACCCCTAACCCTGACAATCAGAGCAGACACGAGAAACTAGGCATCAATAAATCACTTATTTGGGAGCAGAGACTCCAACCACTGAACAGAGGGACATTCTGAAGAAACTTCCGAGATAACTTCCAAGATAACCAGACAAGCATCGCTACGATGGATGAAGGATTATGCACCAGGGCCTATCGAAAACGAGGAGCTGGAATCCCGCAGCCTGCGGACGACGAAGAGGACTCGGCCCGTCGGCGCACATGTATTAAGCACCTAGTATGTGCCCGGCACTTGTTAAACTCCATGGGTGATACAAGAGAACAGAAAACAGGTGTCGCCTTCCCCCGAGTCTCGGGAGAGCCTTTACCCTCTGCAATAAAAGCGGCTCGCGTTTTAACAGGAAGGGTTTAAGTCAGGCAGGAGGAAGCTTTCCTAAGATACTCGGTCCGGATCGCATAACGAAGTTGTGGAACTACTTTTACTGGGAATTATTAGAAAGTGCTTAATCTAGTACAGAAAGAAAGTGTTACTTCTGGGGCACTAATCCCAAGTCCCACTGCCCACCTCCTGGGCCCCAGCTTCCCTCTGGTCCCCCTAACCTTCGGCAGCACTGCTGGGGCCATCTGGTCGGGGGGTCCCGGTGCTCTTTTTCCTCCGGTGCTTCTTCCGGTTGGAGTGGGGAGATGGGGGAGGCTCCAGCTTGGGGCTGGAACTGAGCACCTCAGCCGGGCCACTGGCTGGGGAGGGGAGAGTTGGAGAAGTGTGGGCGGGAGGGAGGGT